TATTTGGCAATAAGTGGGCGAGAACGACCAGTGTCTCGCTGCATATTTTCCGTGTCACTCTGCACCTTTCTAACTACTGTAATTGATCTGTTTCTTTTATTGAGTTTATTTCTGTGTGCATTGAAGTTCTAAAGTCCTTTGGCTCATCCAAGATCGCCGATTTAACAGCATTTAGATCTTCCGTTGAGATAGGACCTGGATTAGATTCCACGCCATTTGATAACAACAGTCTAGCCCGGATTACAGTAGTCGCCACTGACCCAGTTTCCCCACATGAAAGGACAATGGACACAACACTCCCGACCCGCTCTCCATTGAGTCTCTAATCACATACCCACCCCCACCCAACCCTACCCCAACCCCCTCGATATCTTTCATACATTGTTATGGTCCTTTTAAAGTCTCTTGTACAAAGATTCCAATCTTGCTTCTGCGATGGCATAATTGTTTGGCAACTCTGGATGATCAGACTTGAATGGAATGTCCATTTTATAATGTCCATTATGAATTTCTCTACACTTTGGCCCCACGTGTTGTTAGCTCTCTTATAATTCACAGACATAGTAACTTCACTACCCATATCGCATGAATCCACTTTCCAGAACTCCCCAATTAAAGACTGTAACTCACAATCATTCTGTACTGCTTGGATATAATGAAGTGTTACTGCTCCATGTCTGACATTCTCCAGTGGTCCGTTCACAACCCAGCCTAACACAGTTCATCAGAAGCTTCTCTACGAATGTCAATTGGTGCCAGCGCCGAAGGAGTGTCTTGTCCGATAAGATCTACCTTAGCCCCTTCCAGTTCAGGCAGATTAATTTCTTTCAAATTAGGCCATTTGTCTAAATCACTTTGAGATGTCCTACTGTTTCCATAAATTGGAATTTCAGGAATGACAAAATCATTATGCATCTTAATGCAGTGTATCCCACTCAGGTCCGCAACATAGAGAGTTACCATACTAGTGTCAAATTTGGAGTTATTAGTAGTGAGTGTTGTTAATGACAAAGTTGTTTTACTACCCTGTAGACCAAGCTGTTTAATGAGTTCCTGTGTACAGAATGTGTTTGTGTTTCCAGGGTCAAGTAAGGCGTATGTTCTGATGCACTTACTTTCACACCCTTGAGTCTCAGCTTGTACAATGAGAAGAGCTATCTAGAGATTGGACTGTTGTTTGCGTTGAGATTTCTTGAGTTTTCTTTTGATGTTAATGAGCCCGAGTCCATTGGTTCTGCTGGAGTGCAACAGTCTCAAATGCTTGCAAAACATCCATTCACACAACATTTGCTTGGCTGTAAACAGCTGTATGACATATATTGATTGAATAACAGTTACAGCACAAATGCTTCTCATAAACAAACCTATGCCGTTTTCTGGACTCATCTGTTTGAATTGTATACAAGTGTATATGGCATAATCACCACTACAATACTTGCAGGCAGGCATCTCCCTCCTTCCGAACTGTGTTTGGTATCCATTTCCTCTGTAAACAGCTTTGGTTTGAATATTAACATTAGAACCAAATTCCCCTTTTTTCTCATTTTGTCATCTCTTGAAATACCGATTCTTCCAAAGACTGGGTCATTCCCTTCCTCCGCAGCAGTTTCTATGAATCCAGCCAAGTGAGTAATATCAGAATACTATCCATTAGCCTTCAGAACACCAACAGCTTCTTTCCGACATCTTCCTTGAAGAAAGGGTGGTGACTTTCCAATATCTTTCCCATTCGCATTTGATCATCAATTTCGCTGAGGAGGCCCATTGTTGTCAAAGTAACAACACAACTCTGTACGTTGTCTGCATATCGTCGCAGTTCTGCAAAATCTCCAAGCCTTCAACAGCGTTTCTCAGTAACCTTCTGTATCCAGTCCTTTATGATGACAAACTGATTCCAAAGCAATCACTCAACAGTCTCCTTTCTTCGGAATACCAAACTATCTTCAGGTTCCATTACTGCGACACATTCAATGACAGTCAGGGCCCTCATGATGCAATACTGCAGCAGACGATTTAACTTGACACTATTACTGGCACAAAACTATTCTCAAATGAACCTACACACATCCAGTATTGTAATGGATCTCCATCAAATGTTTTAGGCAACTGAAGAAGGTTGAACATCTGCTTCTGCATTGATGGGAATGGCTCACCGCTATCATTGCTACCAGACTCATTTCTCTTCTCAACATGTTCAAAATATCACGACAACCTGCAATAATAGGTTCGGTATAAATGCTTCTGCACGAATACACACCGTGGCCTTCTTGGCAGCAACTTTAGCCATCAATGCTTTTTTTACTGAATGTTGACTTGCGGCAGAAATATGACTCACAGAAGCATCTGTATGCACTGATATAAGTCTCATGTTCATGTAATCTTTCCTGTCTATGTCTCTTCCTTCCACATTAACACATTTGTATGTAACAGATCAAACCTGTCTTTAATCTTCAAATCATAAGATTCCAACTCATGAAACAACTCTTGATTATCTTTTACAAGTTTCTGTCTCTCAATTGTTTTGTCATGCAATTTGTCTAGAATATCTTTCAAATAGTCCATTTCACTACCACAGTGGTACCTGTTTTACTTCTTAAGATTTCTCTGATTTCATGTCGCTGTTTGTATGAATTGATCGATAACAAGAAATCTGTGAGGTCACTATTGTTGGCTTATCATTTATAAGAATTGACTTAAATTTATGTTTCCCTTTATGGAGACATAAACGTAAAAGCCGATGTGCACAGTGTGCGTAAATAGGTTACACTTGAGGCACGAGACAGGCGTGCAGAGGGTGGTGAAAGGTTGGCAAAACTGCAGCCCCTAAACATTGTTTTGATATATTTTACATATTGAGAAGGTTTATTGGAAAAGTACACACATGCAAATGTAAAAACAATCAATTTACTTTGCTTCATTTATAAATGAAGAGATCTATTTCTGGATATATACGAGGAACAATATTTGAGGGAACTCAGCTTCATTTCAGCTTCAGAACAAAATGACAACTTTTGTTGCATGAGGCACAGTAACTGAACGCGGAAAGCAAACTCGCTCAAACTTGGCACACTGCACCTGTATAGCATGCCGTCCACGGTGACACATGTTCCAATAAACGTCACAGCCACACGGTTCATTGATTGGGTACAACGAAGGAAAATGCCCCCCAAAATGGACATGCTTTTACAGATGGTGGGCAACGTGTTTGGAGACGATGTGGAGAGAAGTACAATCGGGCAGCAGTCCAAGAGCACGAGGTACGATCATGGTCTCAGTTGGCATCGTATACGGCAAGAGGACGGATCTGATGATCTTGCAAGGAAACATGACGGGTAAACATTATGTGTACCAAATGTTACATCCAGTGGTAATCCCATTTGACCTTCGAGTTCCAGGATGAAAATGCACGTCCTCAAAGAGTTCATGTTTCAGTCGACTGAGGCAGCAAGGAGTCATAACATTGTCCTGGTTGTCTAAATATCCAGACATGTCACTGATTGAACAACTTTGGGACCTTCTGGGTCAAAGGATTCGCAAATGACCCCAGCGTTCCAAGAATTCCCAACAGCTTTGATAGGCCTTACAGGAAGAACGGCGTAGGACACTAGGGGATACAAACCGGCCTTTGATATTGATTATGCCCAGAACATGTCATCGATGTTGTCGGCGCATGGGCTATTGAATTTACTTTGAAGATCGAATCCCACAACATCTATCAATGGTACATAGTGGAATTTGGGAAATGTTTGAAGCGAAATAAATTACTGACAGGAAATAAATCAATTGAGTATGTGGTAGTGAGACCTGAAGGCATGCAAGGCATGGGTTTCAATCCCCGTTCACATTGTTAAAACTGGATAAGTTTCCAGTCACTTGTTACTTATCAAAAGTCAAAATCCGCTGTACGTTTTCAAACTGTTTCAGTGTACAATATGGTCTGAAAAACATGACAATTGTTAAAGTTTTCCATTCACTAACAAATTTTGTTGTGATATCTAGCCACTGTAGCAGGTATGTACCTAAGTACTTACTAAGACTCGGTGTGATATCTAGCCACTGTAGCAGGTATGTACCCAAGTACTTACCATGACGTGTTGTGAGATGTAGTCTCTGTAGCGGGTGTGTACCAAGTACGTACAATGACATCCTCTGAGATGTAGTCATCTAGCAGGTATGTACCCAAGTACTTACCATGACTTGCTGTGAGATATAGTCACTCTAGCAGATGTTCCTTCAACTTCCAAATATGACTTGATGTGAGATCTAGCTACTGTAGTAGGTATTTTCACAAGTACTTACCATGGCTTGCTGTGAGATCTAGCTACTGTAGTGGGTGTGTATCCAACTACTTACTATGACTTCCTGTGAGATCTAGTCACTGTAGTGGGTGTGTATCCAACTACTTACTATGACTTACTGTGAGATCTAGTCACTGTAGTAGGTGTTTACCCAAGTACTTACCATGACTTGCTGTGAGATCTAGTCACTGTAGTTGGTGTGTATCCAAGTACTTACTATGACTTGCTGTGAGATCTAGTCACTGTAGTAGTTGTGTACCCAAGTACTTACCATGACTTGCTGTGAGATCTAGTCACTGTAGTAGGTGTTTACCCAAGTACTTACCATGACTTGCTGTGAGATCTAGTCACTGTATTGGGTGTGTATCCAAGTACTTTCTATAACTTGCTGTGAGATCTAGCTACTGTAGCAGGTATTTACACAAGTACTTACCATGACTTGCTGTGAGATCTAGTCACTGTAGTGGGTGTGTATCCAACTACTTACTATGACTTGCTGTGAGATCTAGTCAGTGTTATAGGTGTATACCCAAGTGCTTACCATGACTTGCTGTGAGATCTAGTCACTGTAGCAGTTGTGTACCCAAGTACTTACCATGACTTGCTGTGAGATGTAGTCACTGTAGCAGGTATGTACCCAAGTACTTACTGTGCGTAGTTACTTGTCATGATGGTTGCTGACCAGGTGTGTTGCTGTTTCAGAATATGGCGACAATGGGAGGCATTGCCTATTTTGTACTTCTTCTGCCTGTACTACAATTGGGTGAGTTGCCAAACCGAAATAGATTATACTTTGTACTCAAACACGCATTGTCATACCACAGTTACAATAGAATTTGTACATCCAGAATTATTGATGCAACGATCAACAATCATAACATGAATAACAACATGATACTTGTAATTAGGAATTTGTTACTACTTCTTATCAGAAAATATCCGTCTCTGGTGAAAATGTGGTTAACATGGCAACATATAAATTTCATTTGTGGAACGTGTTACCTTTCTGAAATTGAAGCGGATATTTAGTATTTTGAAACACCTCCTTTATCATAAGTGATTTCTCAAACATTAGAAGACCAACATGCTATGTTGAAAGAACTACCACAGATGTTAAATGACAAACGTGGACATAATTTTATACCAATTACTTATATAAATAACTGTACCCGGACGTTATGTTTCAGGTGCCGCCTTCAGTGACGGCAGGGAGTTTGTGCTTATCTACCCTGAAATGAAAGGATATAACGGCTCGGTGTCACTTAGCCCGTACGTGATAGGAACTGGTCCCATGACATTGACAGTCTACGAATCAGGGTCAGCTGCCACGACGGTAATGCTGATGACGAATGGTGAACTCTCAATAGTGAATAACAATATCATAGTCGGAGATGGTATAAGTTTTAAAATGGTTCGCCTGACCTCAGATAAGAATGTCAAAATATTTGGGCGTTACACTGCTGGCGACAGAGGGGAACTGTACTCGGCTATCCCCACCACATCCTTGGGGAGCGAGTATTATGTGGCGACGTACTGCGAAGAGGCGGCGCATCTCTGTCACATACAGATAGCTAGTTTGGATGTTGGCACGACTGTTGAAGTTGCGTTAACAAATGGTGGAAACAGCGATGTGACCGTTGAGTTCCTGGGGGTCACCTACCACGGTGGAGATACGATAACCATGACCTTGAATCAGTACCAGGTGGCTCACATAGAGAGTGCTAGTGATCTCACAGGAACTCGCATCTCATCCAATACCAACATCGTGGTGTACAGCGGGAGCAGTGCCACGACGGTCCGGGGTGCTGGGGAGGGGTTCCTTCTGAAGCCGATGTCCCCGGTGACCACGTGGGGCAGAGTGCATGTCGCTGTCAGGACTCCAGGGAGGATTAAAACTGGAGATTATTTCCGAATTATTACCTCTGAGTCAAATACCGTTGTAACGATATCTGGCGAGAGTCCCATAACTCTATCTAACAGAGGGCAGTGGGTTCAGAGGAATTTCAGTGGCAGTGCCGAGATACTCGTCAGTTCGAACAAGCCGGTGATGGTGGTGAGATTGTCGCCGGGGCAGAGGGAAGTCACGGAGCCCGGAGTTCCTACAATGGTGTTGGTGGTACCAAATGAACAGTTTGTCACGGGAACGAATGTGATTGTGCCCAAAGTGCCCGGATTGACAAGCAGCATTATAACGGTTGTAACAAAGAAACAGTACACGGGCAACATGTTGGTGGAGTCCAACAGTGTTATCAACTGGTTTACAGTGGGCAGTTCTAACTACGTGGTGGCCGAGGTCTCTGTCACTTCCAACTACATCACTGTATCGTCTAGCCCTGAAGCCAGATTTGCTGTCTATTTCCACGGCCGTGGGTCTCCATCGTTTGCGTATACTGGCGGAAGAAACTATGCAAACATCAATCCGGTAACTGTAAAATATACACGCAACTGGTCTCGTTGTCATGTTTAAGCTTGTCAAAACTGTAGGTGAATTCACCTATACTCCTATCCTAATAATGTACTTTAATGACGTAACATTAAACTCGCTCACTCATTCAAATGAAAACAGTTGATATATGAAAAGGTTTGAATTGTAACAAGACGTTTAAATCCATTATTCAAATATGTACATCAAATGATGTGTTTTACTCGCCCGAAGCAGGGGCACATATTTACCGCTGCCTGTACACACTGTCTCCTCACACTATCTTTATTCTACAGCCGTGTTCCCCGACAGTGATGTCTATCGGAGACGAGGTAGACAACGACTGCAACGGCCAGACCGACGAGGACAACTGCACGCTGACAGGTGCATGGTTAACCGTTGTCAACTTGTAACATTAATATATTTTACTGCTCTCAATGAGAACATGTTTCTCATACCCCATACACGTGTCTTACAGCAGCTCTGTTTCACCGAAAGAGTCTGTACGTATCCCACATCAGCTGTTTCACCCACTGAGTCTGTACGTATCCCACATCAGCTCTGTTTAACCCACTGAGTCTGTATGTATCCCACATCAGCTCTGTTTCCCCACTGAGTCTGTACGTATCCCACATATGCTGTTTCACCACTGAGTCTGTACGTATCCTACATCAGCTGTTTCACCCACTGAGTCTGTACGTATCCCACATCAACTGTTTCACTCGCTCAGTTAGTACGTATCCCACATCAGCTCTGTTTTAACCCACTGAGTCTGTAAGTATCCCACATCAACTGTCTCACCCTCTGAGTCTGTACGTATCACACATCAGCTCTGTTTCACCCACTGAGTCTGTACGTATCCCACATCAGCTCTGTTTCACCCACTGAGTCTGTACGTATCCTACATCAGCTGTTTCACCCACTGAGTCTGTACGTATCCCACATCAACTGTTTCACCCGCTCAGTTAGTACGTATCCCACATCAGCTCTGTTTTAACCCACTGAGTCTGTAAGTATCCCACATCAACTGTCTCACCCTCTGAGTCTGTACGTATCACACATCAGCTCTGTTTCCCCACTGAGTCTGTACGTCTCCCACATCTGCTGTTTCCCCACTGAGTCTGTAAGTATCCCACATCAGCTCTATTTTAACACACTGAGTCTGTACGTATCCCACATCAGCTGTTTCACCCACTGAGTCTGTACGTATCCCACATCAGCTCTGTTTCACCCACTGAGTCTGTACGTATCCCACATCAGTTCTGTAGATTGATGCTTATTATCTCAATTACTAGATTGCCTGGTCTAGACCCGATTCACATATAGCACTCTGATTGCGTCTCTAAGTATGTGCTACGTCAGCTCTCCAACTGAGTCTGCACGTATCCCACATCAGCCTTTTTCATCCACGGAGTTTGTGCGTATTCCACATCAGCTGTTTCATCCACGGAGTGTGTGCGTATCCCACATTAGCTGTTTCACCCACTGAGTCTGTATGTATTACACCTAAGCTCTGTTTCACCCACTGAGTCTGTACGTATCCCACATCAGCTCTGTTTCACCCTCTAAGTCTGTACGTAACACACATCAGCTGTTTCACCCACTGAGTCTGTACGTATCCCACATCAACTGTTTCACCCGCTCAGTTAGTACGTATCCCACATCAGCTCTGTTTTAACCCACTGAGTCTGTAAGTATCCCACATCAACTGTCTCACCCTCTGAGTCTGTACGTATCACACATCAGCTCTGTTTCCCCACTGAGTCTGTACGTCTCCCACATCTGCTGTTTCCCCACTGAGTCTGTAAGTATCCCACATCAGCTCTATTTTAACACACTGAGTCTGTACGTATCGCACATCTGCTGTTTCCCCACTGAGTCTGTACGTATCCCACATCAGCTGTTTCACCCACTGAGTCTGTACGTATCCCAAATCAGCTCTGTTTCACCCACTGAGTCTGTACGTATCCAACATCAGCTCTGTTTCACCCACTGAGTCTGTATGTATCCCACATCAGCTCTGTTTCACCCACTGAGTCTGCACATATCCCACTTTAGATCTGTTTCATCCACTGAGTCTGTACGTATTACACATCAGCTGTTTCCCCACTGAATCTGTACGTATTACACATCAGCTCACTTTCACCCACTGAGTCTGTACGTATCCCACATCTGCTGTTTCACCCACTGAGTCTGTACGTATTACACATCAGCTCAGTTTCACCCACTGAATCTGTACGTATTACACATCTGCTGTTTCACCCACTGAGTCTGTACGTATCCCAAATCAGCTCTGTTTCACCCACTGAGTCTGAACGTATCCCACATTAGCTGTTTCCCCACTGAGTCTGTACGTATCCCACATCAGCTGTTTCACCCACTGAGTCTGCACGTATCCCACATCAGCTCTGTTTCACCCACTGAGTCTGTACGTATCCCAAATCAGCTCTGTTTCACCCACTGAGTCTGTACGTATTACACATCAGCTCTGTTTCACCCACTGAGTCTGAACGTATCCTACATTAGCTGTTTCACCCACTGAGTCTGTATGTATTACACCTAAGCTCTGTTTCACCCACTGAGTCTGTACGTATCGCACATCTGCTGTTTCCCCCACTGAGTCTGTACGTATCCTACATCAGCTGTTTCACCCACTGAGTCTGTACGTATCCCACATCAGCTCTATTTTAACACACTGAGTCTGTACGTATTACACATCAGCTCTGTTTCACACACTGAGTCTGTATGTATCCCACATCAGCTCTGTTTCACCCACTGAGTCTGCACATATCCCACTTTAGATCTGTTTCATCCACTGAGTCTGTACGTATTACACATCAGCTGTTTCCCCACTGAATCTGTACGTATTACACATCAGCTCACTTTCACCCACTGAGTCTGTACGTATCCCACATCTGCTGTTTCACCCACTGAGTCTGTACGTATTACACATCAGCTCAGTTTCACCCACTGAATCTGTACGTATTACACATCTGCTGTTTCACCCACTGAGTCTGTACGTATCCCAAATCAGCTCTGTTTCACCCACTGAGTCTGAACGTATCCCACATTAACTGTTTCACCCACTGAGTCTGTATGTATTACACCTAAGCTCTGTTTCACCCACTGAGTCTGTACGTATCCCACATCAGCTCTGTTTCACCCACTGAGTCTGTACGTATTCTACATAAGCTGTTTCACCCACTGAGTCTGTACGTATCCCACATCAGCTCTATTTTAACCCACTGAGTCTGTACGTATCGCACATCTGCTGTTTCCCCACTGAGTCTGTAAGTATCCCACATCAGCTGTTTCACCCACTGAGTCTGTACGTATCCCACATCAGCTCTGTTTCACCCACTGAGTCTGTACGTATCCCACATCAGCTCTGTTTTAGCCCACTGAGTCTGTATGTATCCCACATCAGTTCTGTAGATCGATGCTCATTATCTCAATTACTAGATTGCCTGGTCTAGACCCGATTCACATATAGCACTCTGATTGCGTCTCTAAGTATGTGCTACGTCAGCTCTCCAACTGAGTCTGCACGTATCCCACATCAGCCTTTTTCATCCACGCAGTGTGTGCGTAATCCACATCAGCTGTTTCATCCACGGAGTGTGTGCGTATCCCACATTAGCGTTTTCACCCACTGAGTCTGTATGTATCCCACATCAGCTCTGTTTCCCCCACTGAGTCTGTATGTATCCCACATCAGCTCTGTTTCACCCACTGAGTCTGTACGTATCCCACATCAGCTGTTTCACCCACTGAGTCTGTACGTATCCCACATCAGTTCTGTTTCCCAACTGAGTCTGTACGTATCCGACATCTGCTGTTTCCCCACTAAGTCTGTACGTATCCCACATCTGCTGTTTCCCCACTGAGACTGTACGTATCCCACATCACCTCTTTTTCACCCACTGAGTCTGTACGTATCCCACATTAGCTGTTTCACCCACTGAGTCTGTATGTATTACACCTAAGCTCTGTTTCACCCACTGAGTCTGTACGTATCCCACATCAGCTCTGTTTCCCCCACTGAGTCTGTACGTATCCCACATCAACTGTTTCACCCGCTCAGTTAGTACGTATCCCACATCAGCTCTGTTTTAACCCACTGAGTCTGTAAGTATCCCTCATCAACTGTCTCACCCTCTGAGTCTGTACGTATCACACATCAGCTCTGTTTCCCCACTGAGTTTGTACGTCTCCCACATCTGCTGTTTCCCCACTGAGTCTGTAAGTATCCCACATCAGCTCTATTTTAACCCACTGAGTCTGTACGTATCGCATATCTGCTGTTTCCCCACTGAGTCTGTACGTATCCCACATCAGCTCTATTTCACCCACTGAGTCTGTACGTATCCCACATCAGCTCAGTTTCACCCACTGAGTCTGTACGTATCACACATCAGCTCTGTTTCACCCACTGAGTCTGTACGTATCCCACATCAGCTCTGTTTCACCCACTGAGTCTGAACGTATCCTACATTAGCTGTTTCACCCACTGAGTCTGTATGTATCCCACATCAGCTCTGTTTCACCCACTGAGTCTGTACGTATCCCACATCAGCTCTGTTTCACCCACTGAGTCTGTACGTATCCTACATCAGCTGTTTCACCCACTGAGTCTGTACGTATCCCACATCAACTGTTTCACCCGCTCAGTTAGTACGTATCCCACATCAGCTCTGTTTTAACCCACTGAGTCTGTAAGTATCCCACATCAACTGTCTCACCCTCTGAGTCTGTACGTATCACACATCAGCTCTGTTTCCCCACTGAGTGTGTACGTCTCCCACATCTGCTGTTTCCCCACTGAGTCTGTAAGTATCCCACATCAGCTCTATTTTAACACACTGAGTCTGTACGTATCCCACATCAGCTCTGTTTCACCCACTGAGTCTGTACGTATCCTACATCAGCTCTGTTTCAACCACTGAGTCTGTATGTATCCCACATCAGCTCTGTTCCACCCACTGAGTCTGTACGTATCCCACATCAGCTCTGTTTTAACCCACTGAGTCTGTGCGTATCCCACATCAGTTCTGTAGATCGATGCTCATTATCTCAATTACTAGATTGCCTGGTCTAGACCCGATTCACATATAGCACTCTGATTGCGTCTCTAAGTATGTGCTGCGTCAGCTCTCCAACTGAGTCTGCACGTATCCCACATCAGCCTTTTTCATCCACGGAGTGTGTGCGTATTCCACATCAGCTGTTTCATCCACGGAGTGTGTGCGTATCCCACATTAGCGTTTTCACCCACTGAGTCTGTATGTATCCCACATCAGCTCTGTTTCCCCCACTGAGTCTGTATGTATCCCACATCAGCTCTGTTTCACCCACTGAGTCTGTATGTATCCCACATCAGCTCT